ATGGGATTCTGTGGGATGGGATGCTGTGGGATGCCTGTGGTGCTGCTCAGTTCAGCATTTTCTCTGTCCCCCCATGGGGTGCAGCGCCAAAAAGGAAAAGAAAATAGGAGGGTAAAAAAATCCCCACCCCCATGGGGCCTTGGAGGAGCTGGGATGGGGCTGGGATGGAGGAGTTGGGGTGCTCAGGGTCCTGCTCAGCTCAGCACCTCCTCCTTCCCTCCATGGGGTGAAGTGCCAAAATGGAAAATAAAAGGGATGCGTAAAAAAACCCTTGCATTAATTAAAAAAAAGAGAAAATTAAATCTCTTTTTATATATATAAAATAATCCCATTTTCTCATCCCGAGAGGAAGTATCACCCTGATAATTACTGCCATTCCTCCCTCTCCCTTTCTCCCAATGTTTATTATTTTTATTCAGTGCCTTGACCCTTGTTTTGCCGCTTTCCCCTCAATCCACCCCCTTTGTCCCCTTTTCCTCCTGCAGCCGCCTCCCCCCCGAACACGGTGGACAGGCCCTGCCTGAAGCTGAAGGTTTATGTTCGGCCAACAAGTAAGTGAGAGGTTTGGGGGGTCCCTGGGGGGGTCCCCAGGTCCTGCCCTGTGGGTTGGGGACGAGTGGTGGCCTTTGGTTACCACCCTGATGGTGACAGGGATGGGGACAGGGCCCCTCAGCTCTGTTGGAGCCATCTCAGCACTGTCCAGACAGAGGGAAAAAAAATATATGAATAACAATAATCATCCCTGCTCAGTGGCTACTTTTCCAACTCGCATAAATCAGCCATTTAAAAAAACAAATTAATAATTTTCTTCTCCTGTTAACGTGTAATTAGCAAATGGCAGCAGCTCTCCCTGGGGACAGCGGAATGTCACCGGGTAACCGATGGCTCTCGCCTCCCTTCCTTTGGTGGCTTTAAAATAAAACCCAACATAACAGAACCATCTGTAAAAACTCATCGTGCTCCATTCAGGATGAGAGGGGGGGGAGAAAAAAATCTCTCCCGATAATATTTTTTAGTATTTTAATAATATTGGGATTTTGTTCTGTCTTGCGGAGGGGAAGAGAAGGGGGAGAGAGGCTGGGCTTGGGGGATGGTGGGAGGGGGCACCCCTTGACTGGGTCTGGCCCTGGAATGAGCCTGGAATTGACTCATTCAAAAATGAGTCTGGAAACTTCATCCTGGCACGAGGGACCCTCTGGAACTGGGGATCAGCTGCATTGAGCATTGGAGCATCCCTAGGCAGGACCAGACTCTGCTTTTCCTGCCATAAAAATCCATAATCCAGTGACAAACTGGAATGAACTGAGTTGGGGAGCAGCCACATGGGGTCCTGTGTGTCCTCCCAGGCTGTGGGCAAGGGGCGACCCTGCCCCGAGTGGGTCCATCCCCAGGGACAATGTCACCTCCGTGTGGCACACGGGGACGGGGTACAGCGCTCCCAAATCCCAGTAAAGGGCAGGAGCAGGAGCACCCTCGGCATTCCCACCCTCACGGCCACACTGGGATGTCCCCGTGTCACATCCCGGGGGTGGCAGCTGGGATTTGGGATTTGGGGAGGGGTCAGCAGCGGGAATGCTGCCAGATCCCAATTGTGGCACGCCGAGCATCCCCGCGCCTCCACTTCCATCCCGGACCGAGCATCCCTGCGCCTCCGCAACCGTCTCACCCTCCCTCTGTCCCTTCCTTTTCCACAGACGATTCCCTCTACGAGTCCCCGGAGCCCATTTTCACCAGCAACAACTCCTGCTGCAGCCTCAGGGT